GTATAACTGCGATCTGTATAATTGCTATTGAACCGCTATCAAACTTCTTTTAAACAACTAAAAACAGCTTTTAAAGAGCTATCAAACAACTAAAACAGTTATCTGTATAACTGCGATCTGTATAACTGCTATTGAACCGCTATCAAACTTCTTTTAAACAACTAAAAACAGCTCTTTAAAACAACTTGTTTTAAAAACAACCAGTTTTTCTCAGTTAAAGTCAGCTAAAACAACCAGTTTTTCTCAGTTAAAGTCAGCTAAAACTGGTTGTTTTTAAAACAAGTTGTTTTAAAGACGTTTTAGTTGTTTTTAAAAACGATTTAGTTGTTTTTAAAAGCGATTCAAAGATTCAAAAAATGATTCAAGATATAATTGCGAATCATCGCGAATAGATAATAACGTACATCTGATCTTTGCGTCAGTTGCGCGTCATCGTCATGGCTAGTAAGAAGCAATCAACTGAAAAACAGAGGCTGGTGGAAGAATTACATGCTCCTGCGAGAAGAAATTATTCGCGAAGACGCGTCATAATGCGCAGATACGATGACCTGTGGTAGGCTGATGTGGTCGAAATGCGCCCATACACGCGATTCAACAGAGGCTACCACTAAATACTCACCGTTATCGATGTGCTGAGCAAGCATGCATGGGCCGTACCGCTCAAGGCCAAGAGCAGAATCGAGGTTACTACGGCGATTGTGAAAATAATTCGAGACGGCGGAAGATGCCTGAAAAATCTGCAGACTGACAAGGGGGAAAGAATTTTACAACGAAAACGTGCAGAAACTCTTGAAGAAACATAATATCAATATCACTATTCGACCTATTCCGTAATGAATGCATCGGTCGTCGTGGAACGATTCAATCGCACGCTCAAAACGACATGTGGAAAATGTTTACGCGCAATGGAAATTACAAATGGATCGACTCGCTGCCGGGTCTCGTATCGGATTACAACGCGCGAAAGCATCGAACTATCGGCATGCGACCCATCGATGTTACCTCCGCGATCGCCGACAAGCTCCTAACAACGGTGTACAGCCACGTAAAGATCGCTGCTCCCGCGCGATTCAAAGTGGGCGATTCGGTACGCGTGAGTAAATTCAAGACAATCTTCGAGAAAGGATACACGCCAAATTGGACCACGGAGGTGTTTAGAATCGCCAAAGTGCAGAAAACTAATCCTGTGACGTATCTGTTGGAAGATTCCTGCGGAAAACCCGTCGCCGGCGGCTTCTATGAATACGAGTTACATCGCGTTGCTAATCCCGACGTGTATCTCGTTGAAAAAGTTTTGCGCAAAAGAGGGGATGAGATTTATGTAAAGTGGTTAGGATTTGATAATTCACACAATTCATGAATACACAAGAATAATGTATTGTAAAAATTTATTACAGTATAAAAATATACATATATACATATGAGTCATTTATTTTCCTAAATATCTAAATGTAATTACAATATATTTACAGCGGTATTTACAATAAATTTACAATGGTATTTACAATATATTTACAATGGTATTTTATAATGTCCCCATGGCAGCGTTTCGGTAGAACCGGGTATAATGTTTCGCTTATCATCGTACGGACTTAGAGCTATTTTCGTTTCGGACACGGTGTATACCTCGTGTTTTTTGGATCTTATGCAGGTTTGCTGTCGCGTCATTTCAATTTCGTCGCGCAGACACCGCGTTTAATCGTCGAACGTTATCGACCTGGCTACGACGTTACTCTTAACACCTTTAGCTTTTTTCGTATCTTTCTTACCGTCCACTCGCAAGGCGTACATCTTTG